AGGTGTTGGTTCTGATCGAGGAAGCCCCAAATTCCTTGGTTCCAAGCTGTCTCAAGGACCGCATCTTCCTTTATGAGCCTACTCAAGTGTTGAGATCACCAGGCCTTTCTCTCAGTCCCACCCCCTTCACAGGTGTATTTGGTGGGGGCTCAGGAGAGGGATTTTTCTGTGGCTGCCTCTAGACTTTGGAACTCCCTCCCACTGGAGTGTAGGCTGGCCCCATCTTCGCTCTCCTTCTGTTTTCCCTCAGTGGCTGGCTGCTTGCGTGGGGGATTTTGAATGAATCGTTGTACCCTACTGCTTTGAATGTGTTTTGGTGTTGCTTATGGGTGTTTTTTTTTTTGGTTTTTTTGTGCTTTGAATGTGTTTCGGTGTTGCTTATGGGTGGGGTTTTTTTTGGTTTTTTTGTATGGTATTTGTTTAATCCCTTTTAATGTTTGTATACTCACTGCTGTTAGCTTTGACCTTGCATTTTTATGATGTAAGTGGCCTTGCGGCCTTTTAAAGGAGAAAGGCGGGGCAAAAATATTTTGCTCAAATAAATAAATAAATAAATAAAAACTCCATCTGGGCCTGGAGCCTCCCAAAACGATAGACAAACAAACAAACAAACAAACAAACAAATAACAACTCCATCAGGGCCTGGAGCCTCCCAAAACTTAGAGGGCGGCCCTAACGTTTTAGGGAAGCGAAGGCAAAGTCCTGAATCTTATCCTTCCAGCGCCTTGCCCAAATTTGGGTTTCCAGATGTTCTCGGACTAAAACTTCCAGAAGCTTTCAATGCTAGGTGTGCTGGCCAGGATTTCCAAGCGTTTTAGTTGAAGAACATCCTGGGACTCCAGGTTGGGAACCGCTCTTCTGGAACCAGTAAACAAGAAGGTTATCTAAGGGTACGAGTGGATCCACGGTGAACATCCATCCAGAAAGTTGGGTTTCCCCAGGTTTATTCGCTGTATCCGACCCCCAGTTGTCAGCAGGGAGATGGGAGGAAATGTGGCCCTCAGCCTTGTTTCCAGATTGTTGAGCATTTGTCAGGCATCTGCCTGGATCCCCTTGCGTCCCTCTTCAGTATTAAGTCCCCAGTTGTCAGCAGGGAGATGGGAGGAAATTTGGCCCTCAGCCTTTCCAGATTGTTGAGCATTTGTCCGGCATCTGCCTGGATCCCCTTGTGTCCCTCTTCAATATTAAGTCCAGCAAAAGGTAAAGGTAAAGGTTCCCCTTGACCATTTTTGTCCAGTCGTGTTCGACTCTAGGAGGAGGTGCTCATCCCCGTTTCCAAGCCATAGAGCCAGCGTTTTGTCCAAAGACAATCTCCCGTGGGCACATGGCCAGTGCGACTTAGACACGGAACGCTGTTACCTTCCCACCGAAGTGGTCCCTATTTATCTACTCGCATTTGCATGCTTTCGAACCGCTAGGTTGGCGGGAGCTGGGACAAGCGACGGGAGCTCACTCCGTCGCGTGGATTCGATCTTACGACTGCTCGGTCTTCTGACCCTGCAGCACAGGCTTCTGCGGTTTAGCCCACAGCGCCACCACGTCCCTGGCAAAGGAGGGGGCAAATTCCATGGCTCTCCGCATAGGCTTCTGCGGTTTAGCCCGTAGCGCCACCACATCCCTGGCAAAGGAGGGGGCAAACTTATTTCTCTTTTTGTCCCTTTCCCCCTTTCCAGAAACTAAAATGCTGGTTTACAGTGTTTCTGGTTGGGAGGCACAGAACACCTGCCATTACTGCAGACCCGTGAATATTCTTGACAATCTGGGCAGCATAACATGTTTAGATGCTGAAGATCCTTCTCCACCCAACCTTTCCTTCCACAACTGCAATAAAATCACTTAAAAATCACCCCATTGAAGCTGGGAATTCAATCTGAATCCACTGCAGGTTTGTCTTAGCCTAAAAATCTGGTAGACCCCTATTTTCCTGTGTCCTGAAATGGCAGAATAAAACTGACTGCTACATGACTCAAGAGCAAAATATGGGGTGCCTCTCAGCACAGCTCTTGCCGGGCTGCGCCTAGCATGGACAACGAAGTTGCAATCTGGGGAGCTTGCACCATTTGAATGCCACTTTTTAAAAAAAAGCAAGTGGGGCGGGAAGGACTAGCTGCTAAGATTCACCTCCCTGAGTGATTAGCTTTCTGAGTGCAGAGACCAGTGCCTAAGGCAGCATTCCGGCAGTCATTAACACATTTGTGAGGGTAAACTTCTATTTCTGTGTCCAGGGTTCCTCAGACTGCTTCCTGGCAAGGACAGGAAGTTGTGCCACATAAGCTGAAGACCGTGACAGCTGGAGGGTGGAAGAAGCAGGAAAGAGCAGGACACAAAGGCCTGCCATCCCAGATTTTTCTAGACTAAGGATGGGAAACTGCAATGGGTTACCTGGCCAGAGGATGGAGCGATGTATAGTCACGCTCTTAACATCATGAGCCAACAATGTGATGCAGCAGCAAAAAAGGCCAATGCTATTTTCGGCTGCATTAACAGAAGTATAGTCCCCAAATCCCGTGCAATACTAATGCCAATGCTATTTTCGGCTGCATTAACAGAGGTATAGTCCCCAAATCCCGTGCAGTACTAATTCTCCTCTATGCAGCACTGGTTAGGCCTCCTCTTGAGTACTGTGCCCAGTTCTGGACACTGCACTTTACAGAAGGATGTTAACAAATTGGAAGAAGTTCAGAGGAGGGCGACAAGGAGGATCAGAGGGCTGGAAACCAAGCCCTAGGAAGAAAGGCTGAAAGAACTGGGCATGTTTAGTCTCGAGAAAAGAAGACTGAGGGAGAATCGTATAGCCCCCTTCAAATACCTGAAAGGTAGTCATTCAGAGCAGAGTGCAGGACATGCCATAATGGGCTCTAGCTACAGGGAGCCAGATTTAGGCTGAATATCAGTAGCAGCACGACAATGGAACCAATTACAGTGGTGCCCCGCATAGCGAGGTTAATCCGTTCCGGATTAACCGTCACTATGGGGAAACATCACTAAACGGAACGGAAAATGCCATTGGAACACATTAAACTTAGTTTAATGCGTTCCAATGGCTTCTGTACTCACCGTTTAGCGAAGTTTCCCCCATCTGGCAGCCATTTTCGCGCCCTCGGTGAGGGCAGGGCGCGAAAACGCTGTGCGTGGTCATTTTGGGTTGCGTGGTGGCCATTTTGGAGCTGCCGATCAGCTGATTTCCTGACATCGCAATGCGAAGATCGGTAAGCGAAACGCTTACCGATCTTCGCAATGCGAGTTTTGCCCATTGGGGCTGCCGGTATGCCTTCGCATTAGCGATCCCAAAAAAGGGATCGCTATGCGAGTTCATCATTGTATGGTGCGCTCGTTATGTGAGGCACCACTGTACTCTGGGAGGTGGTGATTGCTCCAACATTGGAGGCATTCAAGAAGAAATCGACCACAGTCTGTCAGATAGGCTTTGACTGGGATTCCTGTACTGAACAGGGAGTTGGACCTGATGGCCTTCTAGACCCCTTCCAACTCCATGATTCCGGTTCTATGATCATCCAATTCCTAGCCTGCCGGCTGGAGCAACCCCACCCACTTTGGCCAAGGGGCCCCGATTTGCCTCCTTCCGCCTCTTCTCCAGGAATGGAGCGGGGGGGGGTGCAAATCTAAGAAGGGCACCTCCACGCCTTCCATTCAGTCTGAATACTTTAAAGCAGCGGTCCCCAACCATTTTAGCCCCGCTGACCGGCTGGGGAAGGCAGGGCACTGCCCTGTGCTCATGCGCATGTGCAAAGGAACGCTCTCTCTCATGCATGCTCGTGTGCATGTGCAAAGCATGGCACAGCGCTTGTGCGCAGGCGCAAAGAGGCTTTGTGTGGGGAGTGCGTGCAAAGGGGGAAGGTGTCTCTCCACGGCCAGTCCGGCTCAGGCCATTGACCGGCACTGGGCCACAGACCGAGGGTTGGGAAACTCTGCTTTAATGGACCCCCCCTCCAGGGGTGGAGGTTAAAGAAGGCGAGAGAAGGAAATGCATTCCACAAACATCCAGAGGCTTTTATAGGTAACAGAGCAAAGACAAGGGTGGGCGATGCTCTTATCAGACTGCTAAGAAAAAAAAAGTCACAAACAAAAGCTAGCATCTGATTGTATAAAAGTGTTTACTAGACTTGGTCCACCACAGTGGTGGATGGTGCAGGTGCACGGGGGGGAGGGAATGACAGACGTTCCAAAAATCGTGGCAAGATAACGTTTGGCACTTATAAGCATATACGTACAGGTTTCCATGACTTATACTATAGGTCTGCCTTCTGGTTGGCTTGTACAGTGGTGCTTCACTTGACGAGGATAATCCATTCCAGCGAAATCGCTGTAGAGCAAAATCCTCGTCAAGCAAAATAAAAAAAGCCCATTGAAATGTATTGAAAACCGGTTCCATGTGTTCCAATGGGCGAAATACCTCAGCGTTCAGCGAAGATCCTCCGTAGCATGGCCATTTTCCGATGCCTGTGCAGCGAAAAATCTGTCCTAAAGCACAGCGGGGAGTCATTTTACACAGTGGGCGGCCATTTTGAAACCCGACGATCAGCTGTTTTGATCGTCGTAATGCAAAGAATCGGTTCCCGAAGCAGGGAACCGATCGTCGGGAAGCGAATTTTTGCCCATTAAAACACCGTTTTGCAATGGCAAAACGATTGAAAAAACCTCATCGTTAAGCGGATTCGTTTAACAAGGTAATCATTAAGCGAGGCACCACTGTATAGGAGATAATACGGAGGCCTTACAAATGGAAAACATCCATTTGTAACAGTAAAAGTCAACCTGTATTCGTATGAACAGGAAAAAGTGCAATGTAGTAGGAAACGAGGGGGGAAAAATAAAAACAGGAAGCTGGATGCAGCTAGGCCTAGTTCAGCCTCAAAGCCTTCCATTTGAGGCCCTTTCCCCAGGCGAGCCATATTTAGTTGTCTGTCAGTTAGGTAGACCACGGAATGGAGAATGATGGGATTTGTTGGCCTGGAACTTTGAAAATTCCATCCCCTATCAAACGTTGAGGAAGAGCAAAAGCCCAAGGAAGGTGGCCTCGAAAAAGGGCTTGCGGTGGCCTTGCTTTCCTCTTGCTACATATGCTTTATGGATGTGTTTTAGTGCCAGAGCTTTAGATGAAAATCTTGAGGCCCTCTCTGGACTCTTCAAGTGTCTTCAGCTTTTTTTCCACCACTGGAGTGAAGTCACATAAGTTAAGCCTAGAAGAAGAGGCAAATATATATACTGTATACAGAAAAAAACAATTTTAATAGGAGGTGTGATTGTGCCACTCTCATAAAAGTTATCACAAATTTTTGTGGGTCCGGAGTTCCTATTTCTAACAAATGCCAACACCTCAGAATTAAACAAGTTTGTTTTAAATAGATGTTTAACCCCTTTCTCCTTAAAAAGGGCCCAAGGCGGCTGACATAATTAAAAGACAGTACTTCAAGCCCTTAAAAAGGGCCCAAGGCGGCTGACATACAGTAATTAAAAGACAGTACTTAAAGCTACCGTGTTTCCCCCAAAATTAGACAGGGTCTTATATTAATTTTTGCTCCAAAAAACACATTAGGGCTTATTTTCAGGGGTTGTTTTATTTATTTTTTATGCACACCCATCTACATTGATTCAAATAAAATCATGTCATCTTCTTCTGATTGCTGCACAAGGGTGGAGGGCGGGGTTTCACTTAATTGAGGCTTATTTTTGGGGTAGAGCTTATGCTACGAGCATCCTGAAAAACCGTACTAGGGCTTATTTTCAGGTTAGGTCTTATTTTGGGGGAAAACAGGGTAATTATAGCAGTTATACAAATATTAAAAGGGATCAAACAAATACCGTACAAAAAAACCCCAACAACCAACAACAACCCATAAGCAACACCCTCTCAGGTAGCCAGTCTTCGCCTGCTTAGGGAAGGACAGTAAAGTTGGGGCCAGCCTAACCTCCTGTGGCAGGGAGTTCCAAAGTCTGGAAACTAAATCTATGCTAAGAACAAGAGAATGCCTCCCCCATTTTGTATCCAAAACCAAGAAGAGTGGCAAGTTAACCTTTCCTTCAACACGGAAGAACAAGAATCAGCTACTTTCGTCTGCTCCAAAACATTGTGCGTTGTTCTGTCCCGTCAGGTCATAAACAACTTATTGTGATCCTAACAGGGCTTTTAAGGTGAGACATTTAAGGAGTGGTTTTAACACTTCCATTCCCATCACGAGTTTTTCCATAGCTGAGCGGGGATTTGAACCCTGTTCTCCAGAGTCCTCATCCGCCATTCTATCCACTACACCTCACTGAGAATCTTTTCAAAATAGGGTACAAGGTGAGGTTATTTTTTTAAAACCAAGAGCATTAGTGTACACTATCCACTACACCACACTGAGAATCTTCTCAAAATAGGGTACAAGGTGAGGTTTTTTTTTAAAACCAAGAGCATTAGTGTACGGCTTATATACTGTGTCATAGCACTTAATGTTCTCTCTGGGCAGTTTATAGCTCAAATAGGTGGGCTACACATTGCCCCCCCCCCGAGCGAGGTGGGTACAGAGTGCCGTCTAGAGTGGTAGAATATATCAGATGGGCAGGATATAAATCAAATCAATCCAATAAATAAATCAAATCAAATCAATCAATCAATCAATCAATCAATCAATCAATCAATCAATCAATCAATCAATCAATCAATCAATCAATCAATCAATCAATCAATCAATCAATCAATCAATACAGTGGTGCCTCGCATAGCGATCATTCCGTTGAGCGACGAAATCGCTTAGCAATGGAGTTTTTCCGATCACTTTGCAATGGTCCCTATGGGGTTTTTTTCACTTTGCGATGATCGCGGGGAAGTGATCATGGCAAAGCAAGCCTTTTTTAACAGCTGATCGGCGGTTTCAAAATGGCCACCGGGAAAACAAAATGGCCGCCCGCTGTTTTTCCTTGCTTAAGAGGCAGCGAAAATGGCGGTGCTATGGAGGATTTTCGCTTAAAGGTGAGGTTTTAAGCCCATAGGAACGCATTAATTGCGTTTTAATGCGTTTCTATGGGCTTTTTAATTTTTGCGAAGCTTAGGTCCCGAAAACACCCATTTTGCGAGCGCGGAGGGAGCTGTCAAAATCATCGTCTAGCAAAAATCGGTTTGCGAAGCAGGGACCAAACGTTGTCCAGCAAAATTCCCCCATAGGAATCACTGTTTTGCGAATCGCTATAGCGATCGCAAAAAGTCAATGTCTAGCAAAAAAAACAACAACCCTGTCATGCGGGGTAACTGTCTAGCGAGGCACCACTGTACACTATTTTCCAACTTCAGAAGATTGGCATCAACTTTGAGCCAACTACGTGAGGCCATCAGGATCAAACGCAGGTCATGATGACTAGAGTCTTGGCCAATGGTACGGCAGTCTAATCGCTGCACCACGAGGCTCTTTTTTAGCCTGGTGTTGGCCCACCAGTTTTGGCCCAGTATGTCTCCCGGCAGGGATAAGCTTGTGCCCCACCAGCAAACTGCATGAGGTCCAGATTTGTATCGGCTACAAAGGCAGCAGCTTGGCGTGTCTTAATTCCTGGCCTTAATTTTAATATTGTCCTGGGATCCCCTTTTCTTGATCTCTTCTGTCGACAGAAAGGAGGCCCTGATCACAACAGAAACCGTTCCCTCGTCCTTCTCCTTTAACGCAGCCTCTGTCTCCATGAATTTTGGTGGTGTTCCCCCATGGAAGACGACCGCGAGGCCATTACTGGAGCCTCTGACGGGAGGACTTGGAATCCCCTCAGTGCTATTTGAGGCACACCGTGTAACTTTTCAACCCAAGGAGAATTTGGCCGTGCGGCTGTTGGAATAAATAAATAAATAAAATGAATTTTGGTGGTGTTCCCCCATGGAAGACGACTGCGAGGCCATTACCGGAGCCTCTGACGGGAGGATTTGGAATCCACCCAGTGCTATCTGGGACACACTGTGTAACTTTTCGGCCCTAAGGAGAATTTGGCCGTGCAGCTGTTGGTGGGTTTCTTTCCTGCTGGGCTATCGCTGTTGCGCTCAACCATAGACTTAACCCACGCACTGCTGTCTGCGGCCTCCTCCAGAAAAAGAGGAGCAGGTAAGAAACTAAAAGTGACTTCTTTGTAGTCGTAGTAACAGTAAAGAAAAACGAAGTAGGGGGGAAAAAACTAAGAAGAGAAGTGGGAATAGTCCCTAAAAAGCAGAGGGTAATTTATTTGAGGGCGGGAGCAGAGGGTAAGAAAGGATCGAGCATGATGGCACTAAAAAAATATTGCTTTTTGGGGGAGGGATCTTCTTTTTGAGAAAAGGAAACTGAGGGGAGATACGATAGTATTTTTGAAATACAGAAGGGGGGGCAGGATCGGTTCTCTGCCACCAGTGGCCCAAACGACCTCATCTGATGGCAACCAAAGGCTGAGAAAGGCGCCCTTTTAAGGGGGAACCGGGGCCAGCCTGGTCGGTCTGAAGACCCTGCCTATGGAAGCAAACAGGAGAGACATCTTCACATTTCAGGGTGTTCTCTTCCGCCACGTGACAGCCGTACGGGACAAATACCACGTGCACCTTTAGAGCAGGCTTGTCCAAACTTGGGCCTCCAGATGTTCTTGGACTACAACTCCCAGAAGCCTTCACCACCACCTCTGCTGGCCAGGATTTCTTGGAGTTGAAGTCCAAGAACATCTGGATGGCCAAGGTTGGGGGACCACTGCTTTAGAGCAATGCTTCCTCAGGTGTTCTTGGACTAAAACTCCCAGAAGCCTTAATCCGGAGCTCTGTTGGCCACGATCTCTGGGAGTTATAGTTCAATAACTTCTGGGAAACCTTTCGAGACACCATCTAAACATCTTGAAACACCATCTAGAAACCTGCTTTAGAGACACCACTGTTAAGAACCCATTTTTTCCCCAAATCACAGCACTTGAAATATAACTCCACTATACCTCCGTTATGGAAAAAAAAAGTTGGGGAGGTACTTATTACAGTAATTTTTACTTTGATTTTTGTGTGCGCACACAAATTAAGGCAGCACAAACACCCTGCACTTGCACACACCTACTACACCAAGGGTGTTTCGCTTCTTAACAGGCATGTGCTTGAATGGTTCGTTATCATACCTGATCTCTTCAAGGCCACGGCACACCTGGATAAGATTGCACATCTCTTCAAAACACGCATCTGTGAAGTTGTTGCCACTCAGGTTGAGACGTCTGAGAGTCTGGTTTCCGAAGAGAGCCGAGAACAGCGTCGGGCAGGCCTCGTCGGACAAAGCATTCTCCTGGAATCTGGAACACAGACGCCGCGGTTCAAAGGTGGTCGATCTGAAAGGCCAGCCATGACTAACAAGTAGCCTGCAAGCCACATCTAAGGCCCATAACACCCACCCGCCAGTGGAAAAAGAGTACAGTGGTGCCCCGCTGGATGATTACCCCGCTGGATGACGAATCCGCTTAATGTTGAAGTTTTTGCGATCGCTTTTGCGATTGCAAAACGATGTTTAGATGGGGGAATTTCGCTTCACGTTGATCGGTTCCCTGTTTCGGGAACCGATTTTTTGCTTTACTATGATGAGCAAACAGCTGATCGTCGGGTTTCAAAATGGCCGCCGGCTGCAGAAAATGCCTCCCCGCTGTGTTATTGACGAATCCGCTTAATGTTGAAGTTTTTGCGATCGCTTTTGCGATTGCAAAACGATGTTTAGATGGGGGAATTTCGCTTCACGTTGATCGGTTCCCTGTTTCGGGAACCGATTTTTTGCTTTACTATGATGAGCAAACAGCTGATCGTCGGGTTTCAAAATGGCCGCCGGCTGCAGAAAATGCCTCCCCGCTGTGTTATGGATGGGTTATGGCTCCCCGCTGTGTTAGGGATGGGTTCCTCACACTAGAGGCACCAGAAAATGGCTGCCATATGGAGGTTCTTCACTGGACGAGCAGGTATTTCGCCCATTGGAATGCATTGAACGGTTTCAATGCGTTTCAATGGTTTTTTAAAAAATTTCGCTTGACGACCATTGAACGGTTTTCAATGCGCTTCAATGGCTTTTTTAAAATTTTGCTTGACGACGTTTTCACACTACAGCGATTTTGCTGGAATGAATTAATGTCGTCACGTGAGGCACCACTGTATTTTGCATTAAATCTTGCATAATCACATTCTGAAAAGCCCAATTCTCCTTCAATTCCAAAGCACACCTCCTGTGTGCCTTTTAAAAATTCATATTAAAATAAAAATAGGCAGGTTTCAAATCATCAAGGGACTTCTGTCCACTTCAGATGGTGGTGTGTGTGTGTGATACAATCCATGATGGGTCTGCAGGAGGTTGTCAGACCCTCCCGGGGCCCACCCTATCCACCAGATTCTCCCAGGAAAAGCTCCTCTGGGTAGCCACTCTGAGGGAGGTGTGGACGTCCTCCACGAGAGATCGGGCCTTCTTTGTGGTGGCTCCGATATTGTGGAACCAGCTCCCGGTGGAGGCTACACCTGGCCCCCTCCCTGCTAATATTCAAAGGACAACTTAAAACCTTGCTTTTCAGGCAGGCTACTCTGTTTGATTTTGATTTTAGATACCTGCTATCACTTGTTATTATTTTATTGATGTTTTAATTCTTGGCTATTTGCTGGTTTGTACTGCATGTTTTATCTATGGTTGCAAACTATCCAGAACGGTGCTCCCTCCCTCCCTCCATCCATCCATCCATCTCTCTCTCTCTCTCTCTCTCTCTCTCTCTCTCTCTCTCTCTCTCTCTCTCTCTCTCTCTCTCTCTCTCTCTCTCTCTCTCTCTCTCTCTCTCTCTCTCTCTCTCTCTCTCTCTCTCTCTCTCTCTCTCTCTCTCTCTCTCTCTCTCTCTCTCTCTCTCTCTCTCTCTCTCTCTCTCTCTCTCTCTCTCTCTCTCTCTCTCTCTCTCTCTCTCTCTCTCTCTCTCTCTCTCTCTCTCTCTCTCTCTCTCTCTCTCTCTCTCTCTCTCTCTCTCTCTCTCTCTCTCTCTCTCTCTCTCTCTCTCTCTCTCTCTCTCTCTCTCTCTCTCTCTCTCTCTCTCTCTCTCTCTCTCTCTCTCTCTCTCTCTCTCTCTCTCTCTCTCTCTCTCTCTCTCTCTCTCTCTCTCTCTCTCTCTCTCTCTCTCTCTCTCTCTCTCTCTCTCTCTCTCTCTCTCTCTCTCTCTCTCTCTCTCTCTCTCTCTCTCTCTCTCTCTCTCTCTCTCTCTCTCTCTCTCTCTCTCTCTCTCTCTCTCTCTCTCTCTCTCTCTCTCTCTCTCTCTCTCTCTCTCTCTCTCTCTCTCTCTCTCTCTCTCTCTCTCTCTCTCTCTCTCTCTCTCTCTCTCTCTCTCTCTCTCTCTCTCTCTCTCTCTCTCTCTCTCTCTCTCTCTCTCTCTCTCTCTCTCTCTCTCTCTCTCTCTCTCTCTCTCTCTCTCTCTCTCTCTCTCTCTCTCTCTCTCTCTCTCTCTCTCTCTCTCTCTCTCTCTCTCTCTCTCTCTCTCTCTCTCTCTCTCTCTCTCTCTCTCTCTCTCTCTCTCTCTCTCTCTCTCTCTCTCTCTCTCTATCCGTCCATCCATCCATCCATCCATCCTCGTTCTCTCTCTTTCCATGGTTTGCTTCAGCAGCTCTATCCAGTGGTCGTCACTAAAGGCGCTTCTCTTGGAGCGCAACCCCCAGAAGCCCTTTCTAACACAGATAGCGGTGAAGGCTTCTAGGAGTCCAAGAATCCCCGAGCACTCAAGGTTGGCGACCACTGCTCTAGAACAGTCTCTCCACAAAGAAAAGGATTTGGTCAAACAGAAAGTAACGCAAGAGGAGGGCAAACAGGGTGGACAGGGCACTGGAAACGAAGCCCTAGGAGGAAAGACAGAAAGAACTGGGCAGGTTTACCTTTTTAAAAAATCAAACTTGATCATTGGCAGTTCTTGCTTCCACTTGCTGTTTTATTTGGGAGAGGTGGGTGGGTGGGACACCTCACCTTCATTATTTCAAAGGGCAGTGGATGTATTTTATAGATAAATAAATGAACGTTCAAGAATTGCATCTTTTTGTTTGGAAAGCGATCAGGTGTATTGCCAGCTTTCTGAAATTTGCCCCCCAAGGAAGGGGTGCTTCGGTTACCACTTACGATAGCTCCTCTATCACACAGTTTGGATTACTGAATACGCCCAGTAAGATGGAAATGCCTTCGTTCTGCAGCTTGTTCCGAGTCAGATTGAGGCGCAAGAGGGTCCGATTGGCTAAGCAGGCCTGCTTCAAGCCCTCGCAGCACTTTTCGGTTAGCCCGTTCTTTGCCAAACTGGAAACGGCAAAAGGAAGACGGAAAGAAAAAGAGAAAGAAGTCAAGCCCCTGGAACGAATTTTATATATTCCCTGAACCCAAATGAAATGTGGAGTCCTGATGTGCTCGGTTCTGCCAGCAAGAAGGGGGATCACAGGGCAATGTTATTTATTTGATTTATATTGCATCTTTTTTCTCAACATAGCCTCCCAAAAGGGATACAGTGGTGCCTCGCTTAACGACGATAATCCATTCCAGGAAAATCGCCATTAAGCGAAAACTTCATAAAGCGAAATAAAAAACCCCACTGAAATGCACTGAAACCCGTTCAATGCGTTCCAATGGGGTAAAAACTCACAGTCCAGCGAAGATCCTCCATATGGCAGCCATTTTCGCTGCCTGTATAGCGAGAAATCCGTCCCTAAACACAGCGGGGGGCCCTTTTAATTACCCGGTGGCCATTTTGAAACTGCCGGTCAGCTGTTAGAAAAACATTGTTTTGCAAAGAATCGGTTCCCGAAGCAGGGAACCGATCATCGTAAAGCGAAATTCCCCCATTTAGACCATTGTTTTGCGATCGCAATAGCAATTGCAAAAAGATCGTTGTTAAGCAGATTCGTCATAATGCGGGGCAATCGTAAAGCGAGGCGCCACTGTACTTCGGTGCCATCTTGTGCATAATCAGGATGATATTCAGCTTAAAAGTTTTTCCACCTGTCTTGAAGCCTTAAAAGCAGCACTTCGGATTTGAGCTGTCCAGAACCGCTACCAAGCCGTGGTGTTCCGAGGAAAGGGGATGTGACCATCTTGGGAACCCCAGATGGCCGGAGGAGGACTCCAGGAGAGTTAGATTTGAACCCAGGACTTAAGATTTCCCATCACAGCTGTACTGCTGATCTAAAAACACAAAGCACTTTGAAACAGGATGCAGAGGGACGAATCTTTAATGGCCAGTTCTAGTCAGGATAATTTCTAGGTATTCTCCAAGAGGATGCGGGGCAGAAGTGCTCCCCACTTCCCCTGGGAATGAAGATATTCTCCCCAATTTCATCTGCCTCTTTATCTTACTGACTGTCCCAAAGCTGAGGCGGTCATACAGGAGCGCTAGCTGCCTGCGCTTCCAACGGGGACATTTTCTCCAGGTACCCCTGGGCCACCGTTCCCGTTGCCTGCTAGTAACGCGATACCCCACCCCACCCCTTCTCCGACTGTCCGACCGATGAAATAGCAAGAGAAGCAATTCCTCCAAAAATTGCAATTGACACACATATTCAACCCTCTCAGATACCTCAAGACTAAAGCTGGTCTTGAGCAGACGGTGGAAACATGGTGTCGCCGGTGCGGCAAAGGTTTGTTTAAAGGTGTGCGTCTTTTTGAAGCTCTAAAACTTGACATGGTGTACGAGCCACGGGCGACCAAAACCTAAATAAACTTGAATTCCTTCTCCTCCGTCTTTTTTTTCCTTGCACCTAGCATCGGTTTACTAGGGAACGGACCACACCAGCTTACGCTTCTTCTAAGCATACCTCAGGGTCTCCAGGCGGCAGTCCCGATGCTTCAGTGCAGCAGCCAGGTGCTCGACGGCAGAATCCTGCAGATAATTGTTGCAAAGACTGGGGAAAGAAGTTGAAAGAATGAGTATCGCCAAAGCGTCCAGCAGTCACGACACTCCGAAATACAACTGGAAAGGGGCGTAGAGTTCTGTCCGCTGCTGGATGGTCAGCCACTGTCCTCATCGTCCACAGGCGTTGTTCTCTGAGCACGCCGATCCGTGTACAAAAGGGCAGAAGAAGAGGCGCAGTTGACCGGTGAGTCAACCTACAATTTGGAGTGTGACCAGACAGCCAAATTCTCCCAGCCTGGATCAGGCTAGAACTGTGCCAAACAGGATTGTTTTGAAGTGTGGTGCAGTAGGACCGTGGTATCCAGGAGGGGATCGGTTCCAAGCCCTTCCTCCATGGATGTATCGAATGCTATTGAGGGACGTGGTGGCACTGCGGGTTAAACCGCAGAAGCCTTTGTGTGCTGCAAGGTCAGAAGACCTGCAGTCGTAAGATCGAATCCACGCGACGGAGTGAGCGCCCGTCGCTTGTCCAAGCTCCCGCCAACATAGTGGTTCGAAAGCATGCAAAAATGCGAGTAGATAAATAGGTACCACCTCGGTGGGAAGGTAAATGGCATTCCGTGTCTAGTCACGCTGGCCACATGACCACGGAGGATTGTCTGCGGACAAAACGTTAGCTCTATGGGTTGGAAACGGAGATGAGCAGCGCCGCCTAGAGTCGGACACAACTGGACAAAATTGTCAAGGGGTACCTTTACCCTTAGGGAACACTATCTATTGCATGGTTTCTGGCTCCCTCTAGTAGCCATTTCTGGTAAAGCATAGAATAGTGAAGTTGGAAGGGGTCTACAAGGTCATCCAGTCCAACCCCCTGCTCAAGGCAGGTATACAGATCAAAGGAGATCTGCCACATGGTTGTCTAAGTTTCTCTTGAAGGCCTCCAGGGTTTGAGTGCTCACCACCTCTCGAGGTCATGGGTCCCATTGTTGTACTGCTCTAACAGTTAAGAAGTTTTTCCTGATATTCTGCCTAAATCTGGCTTTCTGAAATTTGAGCCCATTATGATGCATCCTGCACTCTGGGAGGATCGAGGACAGATCCTCTCCTCTCTTCTGTAGGACATCCTTTCAAGGATTTGAAAAGTGTGCTCATATCACCCCTCGGTCTTCTTTTCTCAAGGCTAAATGTGACCAGTTCTTTCATACACCCAGGAAATATATATAACGAGGTATTTTGGAAAAAAAATTATTTAGTATTTTCAGGAAGTGGGTACTGACCCTGCAGATGGGATCCTCCTGTATGTTATTTGGGATTATCCTTGTACAGCACCTCAAGCGACCTTATTTGGGCCTTTTTCCCTTTAAAGGGAGAGAAGAAGAAGAAAAAACAATAACAAACTTCGCCTTATCCCCTCCTATGCGTTCCTACGTGCTTTGCCTAAGTTGCTTCATGATACTACCGTGTTTCCCAGAAAATAAGACAGTGTATTATATTAATTTTTGCTCCAAAAAAAGCAATAGGGCTTATTTTCAGGGGATGATTTATTTTTTGCATGTACCTACTATCTACATTTATTCAAAAACAGTGATGTCATCTTCTGGTTGCTGCAGAAGGGTGGAGGACAAGGTTTCACTTAACTGGGGCTTATTTTGAGGGCAGGGCTTCTATTACGAGCATCCTGAAAAAAATCATACTAGGGCTTGTTTTCAGGGAAACACGGTAGGAAACCGAAAATGTCCTCCAACTCCCCTGTGGGAGGGGAGCGAGAGGACTAGGGCTTGTTTTCAGGGAAACAAGGTAGGAAACCGAAAACGTCCTCCAACTCCCCTGTGGAGGGGGAGCGAGAGACAGCAAAAGTCTGCTTCTCATTTCCTAAGTGAGGTATCACCCAGAGGTCCCTTAGAAAGGCTCTTTTAAAAACCCACAAGCCCTTACTTCTTCTCCCACTCCGCAGGTGAGTAGGAGGGAGTTTTCGGTTTCCTAAGATCGTGAGGAGGCTTCAGCAAAGGGGTCAAGCTGTGAAATTTTGTCCGCAGGGAGTGCTAAAACTATTAAGGGAGGTGGATAGCAGCTGAGACTCTGCTCACCATCAGAGTTCAATGCCGGGTTCAGAAAAACCCGCTTGAGTTTGACTCAACCTCCCATCCTTCTGAGGTGAATACGCTGAGTTCCCCGCTCATGGGGACGAGGGGGCGACGTGTAGTCTGTCTAATTAAATTGCAACCCACCCAGAGAGAATTTTAAGCTCTATGGGGCGGTATGCAGTCAACACACTTTGCTTCCCATTCTGCTTTGAAAGGGTTCCGAATTGCAGATAGAGCAAACCGGTCCTTGACCAACTTAGTCCCACCAGCGCTTTATGCCCACCACATTCCTGTCAGAATATAGAAATTTTGTAGGCCTGAACATGTATAAGTGTATCATTAACATGTATATAAGTGGACAATGTCTTTGTGTCTTTCTCTTCCTCCTCTACCACTTGCTGCCATGCATTATGCCCGATTGTATAAAGAGTTCCTGCCATGCTGTTGAGATGCCTGCCTGTAAATATCTGTAAATACTTGTAAATACAACCGTCTTGCAACAAAGAAGAACTTGTAAGTGTCTTCAATAACTCTGTGTGTTTCTACTGTCGCCAAAACCGTGACAATTCCTACCTGGCAAAACGGTACACGTGCAAGTGCTTGTTCCCGCAAGCGCAGGGACCCAAAGCCACACTATTACCTGCTATTAGAGGCAACCTGCCCATCGCATAAGTTATGAGAGTCATATTTTGCCACCTGAATAAAAGGAATAATAAAGTTAATAGGAGTCGGTCGCTTACCGCACCGGCAAAATCCAGTCGTTGACGATTGAAGGAAGAGGGACTGAATTGGCCTGATTTAAAATCCCAAAGACAGGCCTTTTGCCACGACCCGATGACACCGGTCCTTATCTCTAGGCTGTTCTTGCAGAGGCCCCGGGCTCTGTAATACACCTGTGAAATCTGGCCCCAGCTCTCTCTCCTAGCCTGGCCCTGATACCAGTACGAAACATCTTGCGATTGCATTTTATCTGCTTCAGTCCCTTGAAGTATTTAGAAACCGTTCGAGCAGTATGACAACGGGGAGCGCTCCAGCGCTGGAGGCCTTCAAGAGAAAACTGGACCATCCTCTGTCAGATCTGCTTCGGTTTGGATTCCTTCCTTGAGCAGCGGGGTTGGAGTCAATGGCCTTCTAGACCTCCTTCTAAATCTTCAGTTGAATTCCCAGTTATACATTATTCACAAACCCCTTTTGCCAGAAAGACCTGAAGAAGTGGGTCCTGGATCAAATCAAGCCCGAACTCTCTCTGGAGGCAAAAACAGTGAAACGGAGGCTGTACTAACTTTGGGCACATCGGGAGAAACCAGGATCCCCTAGAAAAGAGAATCATGCTGAGAAAAGCAGAAGGCAGCAGGAAAAGAGGAGGACCCAATACACGATGTACAGACTCCCTTAAGGAAGCCATGGGCTTCAGTTTACAATTGTTTAGGAGGGCTTGTTAAGGATGGGGCCGTTTGGGGAGGGCTCATTCGTAGGGTTGCCTTGAGTCAAGAGGCGATTTGACGGCACGCAACAGCAACAAAATCAAACTCCTTTTTCACCTCTTACCTGAGCTCTCGGATCTTGTGCAGATGAGGGCCAAGCTTCTGTAACCCTTCGGTTTGGATGTAGCAGGAATCGAGGTCGAGACGTTCCATCTGGTTGCAGCAGCGCAAGATATACCCAAGGATGGCACAATCGACGGGCGTGAGGATCAGTTCGGAGAAGTTCATGCAAATGTGGCCGCCCAACATCTGGAGGACAAGCGGCTCGTTCTGAGCTTCAAAGAGCCAACTGAGGTAGTTCAGGGCTTTCCTTTTACCGCCGTGTTCGGTGCTGCTCAGGAGAGCCGTGCAGTCTATGCTAGAGAGATAATCGATGACTTTTCCCGAGGCTGGTTTTGAGAATTCCCCCAAAATGGCCTCCAAGGGTCTGCGGGTCGCAGGATCGGACAGGCCGGAGAGGAAGCGAAGAAAGATGTCGAACTCCCCACTTCGGTCGCCTCGGGCTCCCGCCTTGGTCTCTTCAAAATTATCTTCGTCGAATTCCAGAAAAGGGACGAGGGCAGCGAAAAATTCTTGAACGGTGAGGTGAACGAAGGAATAGGTGACCTCAGGAGGCTTGTGAAGCTTGAGGTTCTCCACCAGGAAAGCCGTACGAAGAGGAGATTCGGGCACATGGAAGCCTTCTAAGGAATTCTCCTCAAAAATGAGTATGTGGTGGTTCAGGCCGTAGTCGGCCAACCAGCCCAGACGAGTCAGCCTCTCCCGCACGTCTGTTTGCCTCAGGGGCTCGCTGGTGTGGTTGACCAACATATGCTTGACGTAGCTTACGAAGAGCTGAGTTACGGTTCTGGGCAACGGATGGCCTCGCTCAGCGTTGGCGGTGAAGTAAGGCTGCAAGGCGGTGCAAGTGATCCAGCAGTAAGAGGGATTGTAGCAGAGGGTGTAGAGGACCTGGCTGTCCCTCACGTGGGCCAAGGCGTTTCGTGCCACCGCCTCCTCCTCAAAGTAGTTAAGGAAATACCTTTCTCTTTCCTGAGACAAGAAACCTACAATACTGACCACCCTGTGAAAGACGCCCGCCTCCAAATTGGCAAGTTTGCTCGGGCGGCTTGTCAGAATGACGGAACACCCCTTCAGAAGCTTCTCCTTTAGCAAGCTGGCGACAATCACAGGGACCGGCTTCACATCCTTTGGCCGGGTGCAAAATTCGGGGGATTTCAAATTAAGGTCACCATTGCTCTCGTCCAGTCCATCAAATATGAAGAGGAGTCTGTCGGGGTCCTGCAGAATGGCTCCCAGTTGGACTTCCAAGTCAGGGTAACTTTGTAAGATCAGGCTTTCCAGGCTGGTTCCTGACCCGACCGCGTTGAGGTCTCGGAACTTGAAGAAGAAAACAAAGGAGAACTTCTGATAGTGTTTATTCGTTGCCCAGTCGAACAGAAACTTCTGCACCAGGGTGGTTTTCCCCACCCCGGCTACGCCGCTCACCATCACCGAGCGGGCCGTCTGCTTCAGTCGGGAGCACCATCGGAAAAGGCGGTCCAGAGTGATCCGCTCCAGCTTGGCTTGTGTTTTCTGACGGAGGCGATACTCGTTCAGCTCGCCAGCAGCGGCCAGGGTCTCGTGCTCCAGGAGCCTCTGTCTTCTGAAGTGAGCCTCTGAGATCACTTTCAGCTCTACGTAGCGGCTGACGATGGGGAAGCTTTGACCGTGGGGTCCCACTCCTTCTCTGTTTTCTTGCAGTCGACGCGTTTGTTCAAACAGAATGCTTTTAAGTTCATCCTGAACAACTGATGAGAGCAACAACAACAACAAAACACACACACAAGGGTGTCACAGGAATCAACAGTGTTGGGCGACATCACATTCTGGAGGAAACAGTGTCATGGGGTGATAGTGGCATGTGACCATGCCACCATCACTTCAAAATGTGTCAAGGGTGCCACCCATTTTCCTTTGGGGACTTCTTCCCCAAACCCCACACTTTGATTTTTGAACTCCCCCAAATCCTGCCCCTCCGTTTGAACCAAAGCTCTGGTGTACTGGATTGGTCCTCAGACATTTCGGTCCTCCCTCCTGTTTCACATAGAAAAGTCAATAAGGTGAGCAGGTGAACAACCATTAAGTATCACCTCGCTGGGCGAACCTGGCAGGAGGCCCCGTCTTCCAGCCAAACCTTACAGGGGTGTTATGAAGATAAAAGGGGAAAGAGCTGGAAAAGAAAGAGCCAGATTTCCCACCCTCAATGAACAAAAAGAAGTTATAAGAAATGAAGGCCGTATCTTCTCTCTCACGAAGGAGACCCAGACCCCCACCTATCTCACTCTTTGTCTTCATATGAATGCTAACAAAGGCGGCGACACAGGTACAGTGGTGCCTCGCTAGACGATGACAGTCCGTTCCACTGAAATCGCTGTTTAGCGAAATCATCGTCTAGCAAAAAGCATTTCCCCATTGGAATGCATTGAAACCTGTTTAATGTGTTCCAATGGGGAAGAATCGTTATTGTCTAGTGAAGATCGGCCATAGGAAAGCTGCTTTGCGAACCACCGATCAGCTGTTTAAATCACTGTCTTGCGAAGCAGGGCCCAAACATTGTCCAGCGAAATTCCCCCATAGGAATCACTGTTTTGCAAATCGCTATAGTGAGCGCAAAAAGTCAATGTCTAGCGAAAAAACTGTCATGCGGGGTAACTGTCTAGTGAGGCGCCACTGTACTGCGCCTCCCCCGCCCGGCCTCCTCGGGCTCAGTCAGGTATCACTCACTCATCGGGACCAGCATGTTAGCTTCCCGCACTTCCTCGACTGATCTCCCGGCCCCCCGGCAGCAGCTCTTTGCCCGGCCCTCTTGGCTGATCTCTCCCTTGGGCAAAAGGATGGAGCAGAGAAGTCTTGCTTGTGACTGGAAGATGATGGAAGGTGTGTTAAAAAAAACACGCAAGCGGCAGTTGGCGAGTAGCGGTTGGAGCCAGAGAAAGGTGGGAAGGGGAGAAGCGAACCGGGACGAATCAGTTCATGCCCGTTTCTTGTAAGAATGTCTGATTTGTCGCAGCAGGACCGTTTCACACCCTAAAACGAGGAAATTAGCTTGCTTTGTGTTTTGTTTGCAATTATGATTCCTTGGTCACAAAGGTCTGCCTGAATCACGTCTCTGGAACACTACTGAATTTCCCCCTTCTAATGATGGGCCTGTAATTTATCGTGGGGCCCTTAATGATCCAGTGCTTTGACTGGTGTGTTCAGCTAAATCCATCACCGTTTTTCTATAGCTTTGTTGAGTTTACAGCAACGCCCACCGTACGGCCCCCTCACCCTTCGGGTACCTTTCATTTCTGGGTCAAGAGTGTGTCCGGTTTCATTTATGAGAATCTCGTCTAACAGAGTTTGACCTTGGAAAGTCATGGGAGGGAGAGAGAGAGAGAGAAAGTCAAACATTATTCTCAGCAAAATCTCCTCCATCAAATCGCAACTGAGTGTTATGTTGAAAAGGCAAGTTTGTGTGTGATCCTGGTAGACTGCCTGTTTTTATATATGTAAGTTTAAAAGTTCTAATTACTAACCTTCTAAAGTGGCTCTGGGGAAGTTCATATTATAATAAATAGATAACAAAAAATAAATGAACATTGGGAAGGAGCAGAAAATAATCAACCACCAGGAGCTTTTCTCAGGTCACTTCCAACTTACAGGCTGCCATTCAATGGCATCCTTCAGTCTTGAGAGACGATGGTAACGTGCTCTGCATAGAGGTAGCTGGAGTGTCCTCTCCAGAGCCCAAAGCCAGGGTAGAATAATGTGGAGGATAGGCTGTTACACAAGCAGCAAATCCCCCCTCTCCACGTCGCTGATATGGTCCAATGGAAAGGCGAGAGCCAATATAACTGGTTCCAGCGATGTTGCAGGAGTTGCCAGAATGACACGAACTGCCTCCAGGATGCCGGATTTTGCCTCTAGGTTTAATCCTGAAGCCTTTTCCATGAGTGGATATAGCCACAAGGCAGTGGAGGTTTGGAATCGGAGTTTTCCTTCTCCTAGATGGGCTGCCTTCCGTGGCTGATGAGCCCCACCTACCTGGGAAACTTAATTTACAGGGGACCCTGTGGATTTGTGACATCTAAAAGCCCTCCTCAGCTCGTGGAAACCCAAGGCTGTCTCTCTCTTCTTCCTTGAACCCATCTGTCTCTCATTTGGTCTTCCTCCGGCTAAAGGTCCAAGAGGCAGGGTTGGCTCTACTATGAACATAGGCTGGCAGACAAAGATGGCTAGATATATAACGTCAGGTATTGATCTAAGATGGACAGGGTCATCGAAGCGACCAATATGAATTTGACCCAACTCCGGGAGGCCGTGGAAGACAGGAGGGCCTGGCGTGCTCTGGTCCATGGGGTCACGAAGAGTCGGACATGACTAAACGACTAAACAACAACAAAATTGATCTAAGTCGTTTCAGAGGTAAAAAATGGAAGCTGTGTGTCACCAATTTCTATTCAAACAAAATATAATTTCTCAACAGCATTGGGAAGGACGGGTCATCAAGCTTGATGTTCCCACCAAGGCTGTCATTCTGTTGCTCAGCCTTCTCATTTGCAAAATTTTATCAGGGAGTAAGGCAAGATCCAGGGAAACAATCTCTTCCTTTTGTAACTATATTCAACGTCATGCCGTAACTTTTCCTTTAAAAAACCACCTACATAAAATGCTATTAAAGAGGAAAAGAATAGATACACATCCTCTTTTAACTGGGTATACTGGGAGATCTTCGACCAGACCACCCGTTGAAAAGGAGACTGGCTTGTAGGGCGGATAATCTTCTCCCGCAAAAAAGTGGAGGAAGAAACTAGAGGTGTAGCTATCCTTGACTTAATCTTAACCAACAAAGATGAGTTTTTATAGAAGGGGCACTAGGGGAAACTCTGGGAGAATGTGAGCATGTTCTACTAGAGTTCTTGATTTCAAAGGAAACAAAAAGCAGAGTGCAGCTGCATACATACGCTGGGTTTTAAGAAAGCCAAGTTTTAATCAACTCAGAACAATGATAGGTACGGTCCTGCGGGAGGAAGGAAACAGGAAACTGAGCGCAAGTTGGGCTTGAAAATAAAAAAAGGACACAAAGTAATCAACTCAGAACAATGATAGGTACGGTTCTGCGGGAGGAGATCGTAACAGGAAACTGAGCGCAATTGGGCTTGAAAATAAAAAAAGGACACATAGAGGAAGTGGATAGAAGGCCAGGCCACAAAGGAAGATTACAGACAAGTACAGTGGCGCCTCACCTTAACAACGTTAATTCGTTCCAGTGAAATCGCTGTAGAGCGAAAACGTCATAAAGCGAAAATAAAAAACCCATTGAAACACATTAAAACCTGGTTAATGCTTTCCAACGGGCTAAAAACTCACAGTCCAGCGAAGATCCTCCATACGTCGGCCATTTCCAGTGCCTGTATAGTGAGGACTCCATCCCTAAATACAGTGGGGAGCCATTTTGAGCACCCGGCAACCATTCTGAAAACCCGACGATCAGCTGTTTTGATTGTCGTAATGCGAAGAATCGGTTCCCAAACGAGGGAACCGATCTTTGCAAAGCGAAAAACACCAATTTAAAACATTGTTTTGCGATTGCAATTGCGATCGCAAAAACATCGTTGTCAAGCGGATTCGTCGTAATGCGGGGTAATCGTTAAGTGGGGCACGACTGTAGCCAGGAATTGCAGGGATGGCATTAGGAAGGCAAAAGCTGAGAGTGAGCTGAGATTAGCTAGAGACACTAAAAGAAACAAAAAAGCATTTTTCCAGCATGTATAAAGCAAAAGACAAAGAAAATAAATAGTGGCTCAGCTACTCAGTGGCTAATTTGTGGGCCTGGTGCTCTTCAACATTTTTATTCATGGATGAGAAGGTGCAAGGAACATTTATCTGATTTGTAGATGACAGAAAATTGGGTGGAAGAGCCCATACCTTGGAAGACAGGGGCCAAAGTAAAAAAGATCTTGACCAATTCGAGCCTTGAAAATAACAGAAGGATATTTAATATGGACAAGGGGCAAAGATCTGCCCCGAGGGGTGTGTGTGGAATAAATCAAACAGTTACAAGGTGGGGGATACTTGGCTCGGTAATACTGTGAATAAGAAGGATCTTGGAATGACTAAAATTCACAAGCTGAATAGGAGCCAACAGTGCAATGTGGCTGCAAAAATAGCAAATGCTATTTTAAGCGGCACTAACGTAATTCCAGTCTCCAAATACTGTGAAGTGCTTATTCCCATCTATGTGCCACTAGTTAAGCCTCATTTTGAGTAACATGTTCAGTTCTGGATATTGCACTTTAAAGAAGGATGTCAACACACTAGGACAAATTCAGAGGAGAGCAAGAAAGATGATCAGGGGACCGGAAACCAAGCCCTGTGAGGAAAGACAGGAAGAATTGGGCCCATTTAGCTCTGAGAAAAGAAGACAGAGAGAGAATAGGATAGCCCTTTTCAAATACAGTGGTGCCTTGCGTAATGATTGCCTCGCTTAACGAGGAAATTGCTGTACGATTAGGTTGTTGCGATCGCATTTGCAATCGCAAAACGATGATTTAAATGGGGTTTTTTCGTTTAACGATGATCAGTTCCCTGCTTCGGGAACCGATTTTCGCTTTACCACGATCAGCAAACAGCTGATCGTCGGGTTTCTAAATGGCCACCAGCTGAAGAAAATGCCCCCCCCCACTGTTTTCTAGGATGGATTCCTTGCTTTACAGGCACCGAAAATGACCGCCGTATGGAGGATTTTCGCTTTGATTTGGGCAGGGGATTGGCTTTAATAGCCCTGCCGACGCCTTCCCACGCGCTTATCCTATGACTCTATGATTCTTATGAGAGCAGCACTTTACCATTGCAGGTGATTTCGTCCATCATCCCTTCAAGGTTGGGGTGAGGACACTGGCTCATCTGAGAAAACAGACACTTCCAGAGCTCCATCGCCATCACTTTGCTCTTAGAAAAGAAGTCAGCCACCAGTTTCTCTGCTGCTTTGGTTGAATCCTGGCGCGTCTCCAATTCCGTGTAAGCCTAATCGGAAAGCGCAGTTTGGAGAGTTTAAATAAAACTCATGACTGGCTGGCTAAAGCTCTCTCTTTTTTTGAAAACAATTCGAAGCGCTGGTTCTAAACTAGGAAGCGCTAAACGGATTAGGCTCAAGTTACCTGAAAGACATCTCGCTTTATGAGTTTACTTCAGCATTAAGTCCTGCCACCTTTAGAGAAGGTTGTTAAGACCATCAGGAGAGGCCTTTTGATCCCACCACCCTCACAGGCATGCTTGGTGGGAACACAGCGGAGGGCCTTCTCTGTGGCTGCTCCCAGGCACTGGAACTCCCTGCCACTGGAGGCCAGGTTGGCCCCGTCTTGGCTGTCCTTCCGCAAGCAGGCCAAGACCTTTCTCTTCAGGCAAGTTTTCCCTCAGGGACTGGCTGCGTGAGTGGGGTTTTTAAACAGAGAGTTGCGCCTTATGTTTTAGGGGTTGCTTTTGCTTGGTCCTTCGGTCTACTTACTGTTTTGAGCTTTAAATATGGTCTTGGAATGAGGCAAGCTCCCTTGGATCCTTCTTAAGAAGAACGGCAGAGCAAAAATATTTTAAATAAATAAAGACAGAAGGATACCCCCTTATTCATGGGGTCCTGCAGTTCTGCAAACACTGAAAAGGTGGATTATAGCGAACTCTATTTTAAGAGCAAATGCTATGCATAGCACCGTCTCTGGCTCCCTTGAGGGGCCAGTTCTAGTAATGACAACATGGAAATATATTTCTCTAGGGAACGTCTCTGGCTCCCTTTCATGACGGGTTCCGTTCACTTCATCTTCAGAAATATACATTTCTAGAATTTCCCCTCCATATTTAAAAACTTTTCAGACCGTGGATAGGTGAATCAGCGGATACGGATCCCGCGGATAAGGGGGTCCTACTGTAAATCCTTATGCAAACTATATCCAGGGCACCAACAGCCTGAGAAGGGCTGATTGCGAAACTGCGGAGCACTCTTTACCTGGGCTTGCTGAGATGTGATGACATTCTCACGCTTCAGGTTGGAGACCACCCCGTTAATGTCATTTTCAATGACATAAATCAAGTCTTGCTTGAAGTGCTTGGTAAGTTTCCTTAGTTGGCCTTCTGTGAAGCTGTCTAGACAGCGGCCAAACTCTTGGATATTTCCTGGGAACATAAATGACATCAGCATAACATATAGCTGTTATGGAGCTGACTCTAAAGGCCATCATCTCCGAAGCCTCCAGAAGCTGGTAACATCATAACTACATAACCCAGTTGGCGCTTCCTTCTGCAGCTTCAGCACGAGATCGTCAGCCGTTCTTGTTTCGAGAGTTTGCGAAC